AGAACCTAACTTCACTTGTATAAGAAACTTTTTGGTTCTTCCTAATTTAGAAGTTCTTTATTTTGTTTTAGATTTGGTAGAAAATCATTCTTTTTCAGCTCAGCTTATTGCAGTCTGGTGACAATACACAGACTCAGAATATAACTCTTCCATCATTTTTACTTATTTCCACTCCCGATTCGGGTAAATTGCGCTTTCTTTTCCATAGAAAGTTATGCTTACTTTTCTAAAAAAGATTTAACTGTATATATTTTAAGCATCGTTAAGTCGATCATCATCTTCGGTTTCACCTTGTCCCCATCATTTAACAGATTCAGCTCATCAGTGTATCAGCTCGAAACCAGTTAATGTTCTCATGCGAAATGGTACCACTATTTCTGTTCCACTGAGTAATCTTTCGAAATTTTTTTATAAATTTTATTTTTTATTCGTAACTCCGAATAATATTATCACTTCAATACTTCGAAACTTTAAATTCAGATATCTGATCACAGAAAAATCGATCATGATTCCAATTTGTGTCTGTCTACGTCTTCATATTATTTTAATATTGCATAGGGAGAGTTTTGAGGTCACAAATCTTTTTTGACGTGAATGTGGAACTTTAGCGAAGACTGTTATATAAACTCTTACACACTTTAAAATGATTTTTCACATCTAGTTCATTCCTGCCAGTAAGCTTTTTTGATTTTTATATTCTCGACCTGGTTTAAGTTCATGAATAATTTGGTACTTTGAAGCGTCTTTATCTACTGGAGATATTGGAGAGAACCACTCACCGACGCAAAAAGAGGTGAAAAAGGAGCCTGAGCAGAACTTAATTGAAGAAAATATTGCGCGGCCTTCAGCTTCAAGTACCCCATTAGGTGACAGAATTTTCTTTAACTTTTCGGCGTTTTATTTTTGAAGTCGATTCTTAGTATATAATAAGCATCATTTCTTATTGTCAGTTCTAGCTCTCATCATTACATTATACTTTATTATATATTTTTGAAGCGTAGCTTGTATTTGTAAGTAGAAGTTCCAATACCTTTTTAACAGTACATAATAATGTTACAATATTTGTAGTCTGCTGGTAACAAATAGAATTAACAAAACTAAGAATCACTTTTATGGATAACAATTTTTTTATGCTTAACGATTTTCAAGCATCGTTTTTGTTTTCTTCTAAAATAGTATTTAACTGTAAGATGTCTCTATATTTCAGTATTTATCTATGCCCATTTAATCTGTAATTTTCGAATATGAACAAATCTAGTTACAGAGGTATGTGTTCATGGCAATATTCATCTGAACACATCCACAGATTCTGATAGTGGAAGAGATTTGCTGACTTTTGAAGTACCTCATTATACTTCAACACCGTCATCTAGTATGATCTCAGCACGCGAAACTGTTACTCCTAATCATTACTCTCTGGTTGCTTTTTTCTCTGATTAGCTGCTTTAAAGGTTTTTGTTGATTACTTTGAACTGTTGATGGCTGCATTTTGAATAATTCTCTTATTAATGTTTCAGGCTCCCGAAGACATGAAAGTTAAGTCAGAACTACCGTTAATTCTGAATGAGGTACTACCTGCTTCACAAGCATTATCTCCTCTTTTGGCTCCTTCTGATGTTTCCAATTCTTCAACATCTATAGAAGATAAAACTACCAACTATGTATTATCATCCAACGATCACATAAATGCTGTTAAATATTTCAGAGTAATAAATATATTTATGATCTTATTAAGTACCTTATTTTCTCTAACTAAAATATTCTCTTATCTAATAAATTCATTAAGGATCTTGATGGCGAGTTGAATGCCGTGAAATCTCTTCGCCGACACATTTCAGTTGAACCTAGTTCAACTAAAGATAAGATTTTGAGTCTTCTTTATAAATTTCGGCGATTAAATATCTATTAAGTTACTTTTTCGCTATTATTTTTAGTGTTTCTGCTGAAAATGTTCTAAAAATTGTTGTAAAAGTTAATGTTGTGCATGTATTTTTAAGAACTTTAATTTTATCTTGATATTTTGCCGTAATAATAGTTCAAAACAACTTATTTAGTAAGTTTTTTTAGATAAAATTTTGGATTAGTGATTTTCTGTTTTCAGGTGTTAGTGGTGTGCTGGAAACAACATTTCCCATCAGTGCATCTGTGAGTCTTGATCCTATTCCTTCGCATTTGTTAACAGATGAAATAAAATCTCGTGGAGTTCCTCTCGGAAAAGAGAAAATGTTTGGGGGCGAAGAAAAGGCTGACAGTGCGTGGAATGATAAAGTCCACATCATTG